CCCAATTCACTAAGCACAGACGGCGCAGGGGCTGCTAGAAAGCGGACCAGGTCTTTATTATTATATTAGTATATATCATACAGCTCAGGACCGCAACAGGGACTATTTTTTTTTTTTTTTTTTCTTTCTGGGGTTGCCTATAGGCAATACTGATTAACTGTGAAGTTCAGCTCAGTCTGTTTTAAAGTTGCATTCATAAAGCCAGCTTTAACTGTTTATCAGTTGAAACTTAAAGGATGCAAGGGAGCAGTATTGAAAAAAATACAGGAGTTTAATAAAGCTGAATGCAAAGTAAAATACAAATACCATGGCAGCAGTTCATGCCTACATTAAAACGGTATAACTAAACCAAGCCTTGTGCTATAATGCAGAGAAGAGCTGAGGTTTCAGTTTTCTGTGTTTCAAGCCTACACTTTTGTAGCAAGAGCTTGAGAGAAGTAGCACTTTGAAAAATACTAAAAGTAGTTTAAGGCAGAGCAAATAAAGTGCACATTTCCAGTTTATGATTATACTGTTAAACTGTTTATTTTGAAAAAACCCTGATATTTCCAGCACAAGAGCTGCAAAGCAAAAAAAAAAAAGTGCAACTTTACTGTTCTAAAAAACTGTCTCAAGAATAATAAGACACCAGAAGTTGTATATATGTAAACTACACTTACCCGTGTTACCAGGTCAGAAGAGTCTGCCACAGAAGACAGAACTATTTATTACACTGAGCAAAAAGCCAGGAGACCCCCTCTCTCATTTGCAGCAATGCCTCATACCAATTTTTCCATGTAACGTTAAGTTCAGTTGATGGTGTTCACTAAACTTTACAATTCATCAAGTAATTTAAAATAAATTACTTCTGTGCACAAAGACACAGCGAATTGAGGACCTGAAAGTTTTCACCAGCAAATCTCAAAAATGAAATCCTGTGGTAATTAGTGAATGCAAGAACTGCTCCATATATTTCAGATAGTGAAATGTGCTTCACAGAGATGTCAAACAGCACAAAATGGCATTTATGTGCCAGCTGCCTCAGTTTTCTTCCTGCATATCAGAATAAGAAATTCTGCGTATCGGAATAAGGAATGTTTTCAAAGGCCGACAGTTTACTAACCAGCAGTTACATAAGCTTTCCATATTCAAAAATAAAAAATTAGACAGTTTTCTACAGTCTAAAGTGAAGACACGACAGTTACTTTAACAAGACTAAGATTTAATTTTTAAAATTTAACATTTAATACAAATATGTCAGGATAACACAAGTACACCTGAAATATGCCAGTGTCTCAACTTTTATTCAACATGCAAAAAAAAAACGAAACAAAAAAAACACAAAAACATAAAAAACAACCGTAAGCTGTAATTTTACATTTATACATCAGAAATGTCCATTTTGAGAATCTGAAATAATTAGTCTAAACATCTAAATACAGATTTATATCACTAGAACATCTGTATACTCAAAGCAATAATTCTATATTTGCCCACAGTCTGTAATGACAATTTTTCTGCTTACTAACCCTTTGGGAGAACCAAAAGATTCAATTTTTTTCACAACATCCATTCCATCTTTCACAAACCCAAATACGACATGTTTGAAGTCCAAGTGTTCTGCTTTTTTAAGTGTTATGAAGAACTGAGAGTTGTTTTTATCCCGGCCGCTATTTGCCATTGACAACAATCCAGGACCAGTGTGTTTCACTTCAAAACTCTCATCTTCAAAATCTCCTCCATAAATCGATCGTCCGCCTGATCCATCATGGTTAGTTATATCACCTCCCTAAAAGGGAAACAAAAACACAGCATTAACTCACAAATCCCTAAACATCAACCAATAGCATAATTATATTGTCTTCCCAAATAAAGACTTTCTCCATGAAAAAAAGAAATAAAATTCATTCTTGATTTTCATAAGTATTGTATTTACTTAGGTATAATGTATCACAGCTTTAACAAGTTTGCTTGTGATGTTAAAGCAACAGAGAGGGAAATTTAACCCTAACAACAGCAGGTTGTTGTCTTCTCTTGTTCATTCTGACCACAGCATTTTATCTTCCTGCCTCTCACAGTGGCCATTTCTCTCAGGTTGCCTTTCTTACTACCTGCTTGCATCACTTAGCCCTGATAGCTAGGACCTGTAGTATCTTATGAGGACCTGTTCTCAGTTAGTCGCTGCACTTACTGTACTGATCATCTGAGGAAGGTTAAGTTACCATTGCTCATTTCTGTGCAGGCAGCTGCTTTTACCACATTCCTGCACAGATACTCTGAAAGTACCCTCTGCTTGGAGAGCAGCTGCTCCTAATGAGGAGTATCTTGCCTTTCTGCTAGGCAGCATGCTTCTGGCTCCTCCTAATTTTATTATGGTCACACTCATAGAGCTGACAATACAAGATATTGTATAATAAAAGAAAGTCTTAATTCTAAGCCTTTCTTTGTACCTGGGGAAAATCTGAGAAAAAACAAACTAATATTAATTTTATGTGACCTTAGAAGGTCACTTATGTTCCAGGGTCACAAGGTGCAGGAATTCAGCCCTTTTAAGAAAGTCTAGGTCCAGAAAACAGTGAAACCAGCTAGACCCTAAATGAGCAAACAAAGTTTTCTTCCCTATGAGAAACCAAGTTTAAACAAAACATCAGTAGTAAGGGGCAAGTTTCCAATTGACTTTAGTTACAATCAGAAGAGTGGGTACTTTGTTTATCCTGATGACAGGTAGTGTGTGAGAAGGAGGCAGCAGGTGATAAGTGATTTATGAAGAAGTGCCATTGTTAAGTTGCTTTTCATTCTCAGAGAAAATTTTTCATTTTCTTTTTACTTACCTGGCAAA